TTATTTCAGTCAAGAAAGTCATGTCGTGTCGTTTTTGTGATGATCTTAAATCCTTTAAAGAAGGTAAAAAATACAACAAAATAACAACAAAAACGCACCAGCCATTGTATGACGTGAAGAATGATAACAATAACATAACCTCTGTCTACCCCTCACGGGATATCATTTATGAACAACACGCTGCATTCTTATCATGTCACGCATCAATCCTGTCCATACCCTCCATGGGAGAGAATTGCACATGACAGAGAAGATCGTGCGTGTCCATCAACACATTGCCAATTATGGATCTCCCTACTTGCCCAGCAACACCAGCAACGTTACGATTGCTTCTATTTTAATCCAACATGTAAAAACAAGTTCAATGTTTTTTCCTTCTCCAAATGCGTGGCTTGTCTCATTGTTGGGCATTTCGTCTTTGGTTGACTATCAGAGAGGAGCTCTCGAGAAAACGTCTTCAAAAACAAAGAAAACGAATCGTGTTTTTGGTGATAAAACATTAAACTCAGGTAAGAAGATCGATTGTTACAAATCCCACACTATTGTCATTCAGTTTAAAGGCGCAAAAAAGAAATATCTGTGGTCAACGATAATTTTATACTAACATTAAGATAAAGAGTCAAAAAGCAAAAAGCTAACATCAATTTAGTGATTCAAATCGATGAAAAGCCTTTTTGTACCCTTTAATTCAACAATGATTGTTGTGATTATAGTGTATGCTTGACATGAACGAGTGAGAAAGGTCTACAAAGAGTTTTGTTAACCCAGACTTGTTGGTGGCTATAAAAATGCAATAATTGCGCACATGTTGTTTAATACGTGTTAAGTTTGCTATTGTGAAAATTGGACAGAAAATATGACACTTTTGTTCATAAAGGACTTTTGTAGATCTTCGTGTAACAAAGGGATTTTATTTCACCTCCATTTTTAAATTGCTTTAAAAACCTTCAATAGCCAGCATCTGATTGATAATGGCTGATATAAATATATCATATCAACTGATGTTTATATCACTTAATTTTTCAGAATGAAGCCTTTGATGGTTGTGATGTTGATATGCGTGGCTGTTTTACCAGTCATCAAGTCATCGAACAAAACTCCTGTCAGATACGTAAGTACTATTAAACCTTTTATCAAAGTGATTTTTAGTTCACAATACGGTCATGTAGTACGAGGGACGATTTCCTCAAGAAATATAACCTATATTAATTAACACTACAAACTTAGACTTATTTNGCAAACGAGGTCCCCGAGGATTCCAAGGATCTCCAGGATCACAAGGACGTCCCGGATCTCCTGGTAGTGACGGTAAACCCGGTGCTCGTGGACCCCAGGGGTTGAAGGGAGATACTGGTCCAAAAGGAGACAAAGGAGATCGTGGACCAAGAGGTCTGTCATCTCATTCCAACTGGAAGGAATGTTCTTGGAAGAATATCAATTATGTCAAGGACTACGGSTTGATCAAGGTTTGCACGTCATGAAATGATTAGTATCTTGCGAGGTTTATAGATGTGTGTTCAGTTTTCAATATATTTCTCCATGATTTTACATCAATAACTATTGACTGACTGTATGATACTTCTAGGATTCTCATTGCACTTAATTGTTGTTATTTATTTTTTTCAGAATTGTTTTTTCCAGAAGAAGTACAGCCATACCGTTCTCCATGTCTACTGGAATGGTGCCTTGAGAATTTACGGCTGTAACAACTGCTGTAAACGCTGGTTCTTAACCTTCAATGGTGCTGAGTGCAAGTCCCCTAACGCCATTGATGGGATACTGTACATGGAAAAAGGAAAGAACCAAAACATCCATCGTGTCCGCCATATTGAAGGTCACTGTAACAACATCCACAAGGGAAAAGTACGTGTAGGCCTCATGTTGGGAAACTGCAAAGGGTACGGTAATGCTGACGCATGGACAGGATGGAATTCCGTAAGCCGTTTGTTTATAGAAGAGGTGCCCAGGCCCCAGAAATGATCGTCCATGAACACCACAGCCAACCCAATGATAATTCATTGCAAGGTTTCTAAAATAAGATTAAGATGATAATTACTTGATAAAGATAAAATAGTACGGTTTGTAATAAACCATCAGTGGATTTAGAATAAGTTAATAATGCTGTAATAAGGTGTTGGGTTCAATTAAATCATGAATTGATGCAAATTCTTGTCTAGTTTTTATCAACCGTAATGAATCTATTTTTGAACTGAAGGACCGAAGAAAGAAAGACTAAAAGGGAGAAAGAAAATGAAAAAAGCATTGAATAGATGAAAGAACGAAAAAGTCTCATCAAATTTGATTTATAATATTGAGAAGGAGATAAAGATGTTGACAGAATGGATAGCGTGACAGATTAAACTATGGTGGGACTCTAATGAATAAAAACAGAAGAAAATCATAAAAACCAAAGCTTGAGAAGTTTCTTCCTCAAACATTAAGTGACCAGTTTACAAAAATGCAGTAAACATCATGACATGGCTTCATTGCGTGACAGGGCATATAAATACATATTGTGACAACATATTCAGCAAGCTAGCAATAGCGTGACATGTTTCATGAAAAAGTATACGAATTCATAAAGAAATTGCTGCATAAAATGGTCGGTCACGACATCGTATTATGGCAAGACTGTGATACCATATCATAGCGTGACT